GCCCAGACACCTTACCACAGCAATCATAAACTCGTGCTGAATAGGGTAGTACTCGGTCATGATAGTGGTGAAGGCTGACGGACCCTAAAAATGTTATATAGAGCATAGTGAAGAGCGGGCAAAGTTGAGTTGGGGGAGCCATGCAGCGGCGCGACCCACGTCATGCACTGCCCACCCTTGTCGACCGACGTCTTTCTGAAGCCTTCGTATATACAGCGTGAGAGCCCAGACATGACGTGACGCAGTCGCGCTGCCGCTTGGCCCCCCTCAGCTACCTTCGGCCCCTGAAGATGTCTTTTTTCGTTTAAGCTGTCTTGTAGTTCCTCACCTGTGTAATGGTGAAACAGGTGACTATGGCACAGACAGTGCTGGTCACCTTCTGCTCAGTACGGGATTGTGATGACCCAGACATTTGTGATTCGGATTTGTAGGAAGTCTGAGGGTTGAACTGTTTCTGCCTGAATGGTCATGTTCTGTCCCGAAGTACGCACCAAACAATATGGCTGAAGCATACCTCTGCCTGATCGTGTAGATGAGCATTGCATTGGAGATAAAGACGAGGATAATTGGCACTACAATGACACAAACAGCATTCACGTGAGGTCCCCAATGAGCTACTGCTTTCACCAATGCGGAGCTTGGGTTAGTTTGGTTACGGAACCACCTGAAAGTAAAGACCCTGGATTGAATGGAGAAAAGGCCGAACCGAATGGGTAGGCATAAAACTATATGGAAATCAGACTGGCCAGTGAATCTCAAGCAAAAGACATAGGGTCTGAAAATTCACAGCTGGAAATATGGAAAGTGCAATCGGTCCAGAGCGAGCGATGGAAACATTTAGTAGAGATTTCACTACTAGTAGAAACCTAACCTGATTCATAATCGATTGGAACTAAAATCGCGATTATTTCCAGGGCAAGGCAGCCCGTCACGTTTTCTTTCTTGAAGGCACATTCCACGATAAACAGACAGGCGGTACCCGCGACTCTAATGCGTTCCTACAGTCGTCATCCGGGCAGTTGATTAGGCGGTCGTCGAAGGGTCGCAAACGCTGTCGCAACAGCGACT